TCTCTCTTCGCTCTCATTCTTCATTCTAACCAAGCGCTCGCATAATCTCAAAATCAGACTCATTTTGATGACTAGTGCGTAGAACCCATGCACTGACTTTGTGGCCTGATTACTCATCGAACAGCATAGCACAACTCCCGAGTTATGCTTTCCACTGCACGGCGGATGGACCCCACAAGGCTGTAGAGTAATCTGGCCCGCCGAAGGCAGGAAAGCATGATTAGGATTACATGTCGAATCGCCAAGGGGTACTTTTCACACACTGGCTGAAGAATCCAGTACAGAAGCCAGTCTGGCTGTCAGGACATAATCACTCTGAAATGAGGTGTCAAACAACGCACGCCGCGTCGTGCAATATCTACTGGGTAGGGTATCTCTGAGTCGCAATTGTACAGTACAGTAACTTTACAATCTCCGCCGGCCAAGCAGCAGCACACGTCAAGATCAACACCGATCCGCCCCCCACGCCCCCGTCACATTAACCCCGCCGATATTGCGGATGCCCATCAGCCCCAGCACCGCCTGGCCGCGACGGATCAAGTCGCCGCCCTGGCCGACGGCGTCTCTGCGCTGGATGCCGAGCCGCCGCAGCCGCTCGACCTCTTCCTCGGCCAGGATGTCTCCGCCCTTCCGCCCCTGCCACACCGCCTCGCGCACGACGGGCGCCCACGTCTCCGCCGCCGCCAGCTCATCCTGGTCCCCGGCGTACACCTTCCGCTGCCCCTCGGGGTGAGCCGGATCGGCGACCAGCTGGGACGAGAACCACTCCGACCGCACCACCTCGTAGCGCCGCTCCAACCACCAGATGACCGGCCACGTGACGATCCACAGCTGGAGGATGATGCACGCCCAGTACACGAACCCATGGTTGCGGAGCCGGTTGATCCAGTGCGGCGAGTAGACGGTGATCGTGCCGTTGGCGAGCGACGGGGCGACGTGCACGTGGCCCTGGTAGCCGGTGGAGCGGATGTGGGCGATGAGCTTCGTGCGCATGGGGGCGGCGTCGAAGCCGTGGAGGTTGCGACGGTAGGTGAATCTACACACATCCAGATGTCAGTATTCTCAGCATAGATCTTCGTCTAAGCGACATATACGTACGACTTCACTGGGGCTGGATCGTCGCAGAACCGCCGACACCACCCGCGTAGTCCCGGGGCATCCTCCCCCTGCGCATCCCCGGCCTCCAACCCCCCCATCAGCCGGTCCCCCTCCCCGAGTTCCGTGGTCCCATCGCCATCCTCTGGGAGCGCGATGCGCCCGCCCGTCTTGTTCCCGTGCCGCGCTCCGCGCGACGGCCAGCGTCCCCCGCGGTACGCTCTCTGGTGATCGTGGTCGCCGACGACGGTGGTGTAGGACCAGCGCCGGAGCGGGCCGGCGCCGCCGCCCCAGGCGAGGAGGGTGCGGGTCAGGTCGATGCGGAAGTTGAAGTCGCAGACGGTGCGGCGGGTCGAGTCGTTGCCGCGGCGCTCCTTCTCGTGGTGCTGGCCGCTGATGACCAGGCACGGGCGCGGCGGCAGACGGGTCTGCGTGTCGACGAGGCGGTACAGCGCCTCGGCGTCGGTGGCGAGGACCGGGTCCAGCGTGACGACCCCCGCGTGGCGCGTCTTCTCGCGGACGCTGTGGTACGGCTGGTGGCCGGGGATGGTGTAAGCTTCGTGGGGTGCGGAGAGCGGGTCGTCGCGGTAGGGTGTTGGTGTCTGGTCGGTTTCGTGGTATGCGGGGGGCAGGTCGTCTTCGGGGAGGGGGAGGGGATAGGGGATGGAGGATGAAGAGGAGGTGGTGGTGGTTGTGGTGAGGACTGGAGGGTCCGGGGGGAGGTCTTTGATCTGTCCCATGATGATGGTTGTGAGTGTTGTGTCTAGACGCAATAAAGTCGATCGAAGATTGGAAGGAGAAGGACGAGGAGGAGGAGAAGCGGACCGCGTTTGTTATTCAAGTAAGAGGGGAGATAAGCAGAGGGCACGGCAGAGAGCAACAGGCAGCGGTGGGGGCGGTGGATCGGGTGCCTGGAAGTTCCTGCCACTAAATCCACTCCGCCCCCACCGCCCCCATTGTATCTTTACATTTACAGGCGAACAAAGTAGGGAGAGGGACATGGAAATTCATTTGTTTCACTTCTGATATGTGATTTCTCTGGTTTAAATCTTTATTACTCTAAATAAAAACTAAGTAAGAAAGGCAAGAATACGTCAATATTGTGTTTTTCACGTAAGTGTTCGAATCACTTTTTGGCTTTGTCTCTGAGTTCTGCTTGTCTTGGGAGCATTTTGCTACCTTCAAATTACTGTACGTTAACAACGTGGATGAAGTATAAATCATATAGGGGTGACCCTGCTTACCTTATAAGAGTCTTTGGTAATGAACCAGAAAAACCTGTACCTGATGGTGTTTTATCTTTTGGTTTCATTTGCTTTTACACTTCTACTGATAAATCGAGCATCCATGAGCAGTTCCAGGCAGAATGAACAGTACAGTAAATACTTCTGTCCGAGACACTGGAAAACATCATCCAAAAGACACTAAATAGAACAAGAGAAAGCCCTCCTCGGCATCTGAGGCCTCTGATCCATCATGATCATCATCTTCATGATCATCATCATCATCAACATCATTATCATCAGTAGAATACTCATCCTCAATCATCAGGTTATACTCCTCAATCCGCTCCTGGAAGTCGAGCACCGACCACGGCACCAAGGCCTTGTGCGGTCCATCCGGCACATACCCCTCGTCTTGCGACTCCTTCACGCGGGCAGCCGTCTCTCGGGCCACGAACCACATCCAGAAATCGTCGAGCGAGGCCATATACTCGCGCTGCAGCTGCGGCAGGAGTACCACGTCGCCGACGCTGTACGCCACGGCCTCGGGGGTCAAGGGCCGCTGGGTCAAGCCCAGATCGTGGTTCTCGGCCGCCGCGCCCTCGGACCGGAACTTCCTCATCATCTGCCATTTGTTCTCCAGCCACCGATTCTTCTCCTCCGCCGAGAGGCCGAGCTGCGTGCTGTCCGAGACGCAGGCCCGAAGCCCCCGGAGCCAGCCGCCGCCGGACCACCGGCGGAACCCGAGCTCCATGATCTGCACGTCTTCGACGCCCTCCAGAACAACGTTGTACAGGACTTTAAGGGCGTCGGAGTCGTTGCGCACGTCAAAGAACACTTTTGTGCGGGTGGGCGATTCGAAGATTGTCTTGAGGGTGGTGGCGTTGTCGGCGGCCGGGGTGGAGAAGGCTGTTTCGCCGAGGGTGTGCACGTCGACGAGATAGGTCTGACTCGGCTATATGAGGTGGATTGTAACTAGTGTGATCGTGCCGTGGCGGCAGAGGTCCTTGCCTTCGAGATCGACGTACAAGTGCTCTGTGGGTTTGACGAGGAGATCGTCCATCAGCTTGGAGACCGCCTCGGGGGTGTCGACGATGGTCACGGGAGGGGAATCCATGTCGTGTGCCTGTGCCCACCACTTTCGAGTAACCTGTTAATTCGATATTTTCACGGGGGGCAGTACCTTGGTTGGACCACGCTCAGGCTAGAGGTCAATGGCTTGTTGCTAGGAGGGAGTATTGATATTAGGATTGACTCGAATATCTTGGGCGTCTTATAGCACTCTTACAAAGTCTCAATGCCATGGCTGTGTCGTGAATGAACCATAAATTGCCTGGGAGGAGTCTTCCTTCCACCAAAAATCGCTTTGTTGCAAAGCGAATGCTCCATTAACTCATAGTCACTAGCAGAGGATTGCCTGTTAAGCTGACAAAGACTTCCCAGCCCTTACAAAGGGACCTCCGTCTCGGAAGAAAGGTGGGAATTTGTTTCTTTGTGGATGAGCATTAACACATGTTACCTTCAACGATAGTAGGAACCAACTTTTGCAAACTGGTCGTTAATCGAGGTGGGGCGGCTGAGGAGCCACAATGCGAAGAAGAGCTCACTCAAATGTGGGTCTATACGGGGGTTTGACAATTTTTCCATGCAACCGGGAATTCCAAGTTCCAGTCCAGCAGGAGCAATCGCCTGAGATCTGGGATGATTTTGATATACTGAGAATCCTTCCATCTGTGATTCCATGGCGCCTTGAAAGAATGCACGGGATTCAATCCGTGGTGTTCGCGTGGCCACGTTACTGGAAAAAGCCAAGACGCAATGCTTTGACCCAGTATTCTTTTCATCTGTCCAATCAAAGAGAAAATTCCCGGGTGGCGATTTGTGATAATGCCAGTTCAACCGATCCTCAACAGCAGCAGCGATTATAGTAGCGGTCATGGATGCAGATCTAATCTGATCTGTTAATCTTATCCATAGAAAGTGTCTCAGATGGTGCCAAGGTTCTGTCGGGACCGGATCGTCCGCTGTGTGGTACGTACGATCCGATTCGCGGAGGGATCCGGATCACCTTTAAACAAGAGCATGCCCTCAACTACAGTAAGTACATCCTAACCTTACGGCTTCGGCAACAATCTCCCCCTTCCACCCGTCACAATGACTCTCGAAATCACACCAATCACACTCCCCAATTCAAAGCAATTCTACCTCGAGAATGCACAAGGAGAAAAACACCTCATCCAGATCTCCTGGCCTCTGCACTGGACAGACGCGCAGCCCCCGACAGACAGCGGCCCGCTCCCAATCCTGTAACCAACCCGGGAGACCCCCACACCCACACTCTTCTTGCATGGCTACTAACGCAACCAGATACATCGTCGACGGCAACGCCCTCTTCCTGACCGCGACCGAGGCCGCCTGGCGCCGCGCCGTCATGTCCGACTTCCAAGGCGGCGGGGTCATCGTCGCGATCGGCTACCCGCTGACGGGGCAGGTGTACGACTTCCACCGCCGCAGCCGGGACCTGACGCCGCCGACCGACCCGGCCGTCCCCGGCCACGGCGGAGCGGACGCGTTCCTGACCTTCCTCACCGACACCGTCCGCCCCGCCGTGCATGCCGCATTCCCGCGTCTCACGTGCGCGCGCGAAGCCCTCTACGGCCACTCCTACGGCGGGCTGTTCGCGCTGCATGCGCTGTTTACGCGGCACGAAGCGTTCGAGTGCTATCTGGCTAGTAGTCCGTCGATATGGTGGAATGGGCGGTGGATTCTGGAGGAAGCTAGGGGGTTTGTGGAGAAGGCGAAGGCGAAGGAGCGTCCCTTGGATGGGGAGCGGGGGCCGCGGCCGGCACTGATGATGTTTGTGGGGTCGTTGGAGCAGAATCCCGCGCGGCGGAGGGGTGAGTCCGACGATGAATATGAGGAGCGCAGGCGGATGGCGGCGGATTGGAGGATGCGGGATAATGCGTTCGAGCTCGCGGAGCTGCTTCGCGAGTGTCCCGCGGTGCTGACGGTGCCGGTCCGGGAGTACGAGGGCGAGGAGCATACGAGTGTCATGGCTTGCTCGCTGAATCGGGGCTTGACGGCGTTTTTTGAGGGGTGGCCGTTCGAGCGGTAGTGCTGTATTGTGGACCATGTTGCGCCTGCGTGGGAGAATGCCGATGGATGCTTCGGGGTTGACTGTCCGGTTGGGACTAGTGGTTGTGGGTGGGGCGGGGAGACCAGCTCGGTGATAAGGACTATTAGCGAGGCTGTGTCTGAATGTCAATCCTAAACTCAAGGTTGTTTACCCGTGTGATTTACATTCCGGTTGGCTTGTTCTTTTCTTTTGGGGGGGATGTATGGGGTGGGTCATTGCCAAGGATTTCCGCATCCCAAACGAGAAACAAGACGACGAGGCCATACAGGTGTACTTTCCTATCTACAACAACACCAGACTCTAAACATGTCTGTGCCCGCGAATGCGTCACGAGAGTGGGTGGCCGTCGTGGTTTGAGGACGACGACGCATACGCAAGCAACAGGGCTTTTCGGGCCCCGTGATTGGTCCAACACTGGCTCCCCACCGGACAAGTGGGGCGCATCGCTCGCATCGTGTCCATGATGCATCAATGCTTTTCCCTCCAGAAAAACACTTGAGGCGCGCCATAGCCGGGTTTTCTTTACTTTGCAAGAATGAAATGTGAAGAGAAGATCTCGTCTCTCATGTCGTACCGACATCAACCAACAAATTCACCATGGTTCGCCCTCTGATCTGGGGATGCATGGGAGCATGGCTTGCAACGGTGGCTAGCGGAGATTTTGTCTCGACCAACTACCGCAGATACAACGAGGGCGCGCTGGGTCACCGGCCGCACCTGGAGTTTCACTCGAGCAGCGAGTACGCTCCCGTGCTGCAGGTCAACGTCTGGGACGCCGAGAACATCTCCGACACGGGCTCGCACATCTTCCTCCGCCACGATGGCAACGACTCCTCGCCGCTCGCCTCGCCGCTCATCCTCGACAGCCACGATCTCAGCGCGGTGTATTTGAACCGCTCGTTCAAGAATGTGTTCGGCACCCGGGTGCAGGAGAACCACGGCAAGAGGTACCTGACCTTCTGGGGCGGGGAGAAGGGCGACGGCATCGGCGACGGCTACGGCCTGGCGTTCGACGAGACCTACCGCCTGGCCTACAAGATCTCGGCCCAAAACCTCCAGGTCCACAGCGACCTCCACGAGTTTGCCTTCACCGGCAACGGCACGGCGCTGGTCACCGGGGTCGACAAGATCCGCGCGCGGCGGTCCAATCTGCAGGACGGCTGGGGCACGCCTGAGCGGTTCGAGGTGCTGGATGCCGTTTTCCAGGAGATCGACCTCGAGACCAACGAGGTGCTTTTCGACTGGCGGGCCCTGGATCACATCAATCCGATGGAGTCGTTCGAGCCCAGGGGGAGCGGGTGGGATGCGTACCATCTCAACAGTATTCAGAAGGTGAGGCCCGACCATAGTCACCGGGGACGGAACGTAGCCCTACAACCTCACACAACCCAACTAACCCAGACAACCACGCGGGACAGACGCAAGCTGGCAACTACCTCATCTCGATCCGCCACATGCACGCCATCTACCTGATCTCGGGCACGACCGGCTCAATCCTGTGGTCCCTAGGCGGCCCGCGCAACAACTTCATCGAACTCCCGCCGGCCGCGGGCGTAGACGAATCCACCGCCCAACCCATCTTAACCATGGGCTGGCAGCATCACGCGCGCTTCGTGCCGGGCACAAACGAAACCCAACTGACCTTCTTCGACAACCACGTGAAAGTCACCTCGCACGGGACGTGCGACACCGACTGCTCGCGGGGCCTGCACATCGCCATCAACACCACCGCCTCCCCGCCGACCGTGCAACTCCTCAACGAGTTCCGGCACCCGTCGCGCCTCCAGGCCCAGAGCCAGGGCAGCGTGCAGCCGCTGGCCCCACAGCCGGACGACCTCGGCAACGTCTTCATCGGCTGGGGCCGGTGTCCCTCGTTCACGGAGCACACGGCCTCCGGCGCGACGGTGCTGGACGTCCAGTTCTCGCCCTGGCACAGCCCGGAGATCCCGGACGCGCTGGACAATTACCGCGCCTACAAGGTAGATTGGTCCGCCACGCCGTGGTGGGATCCGGCGATTGCCCCGCGGAGGGATTCGCAGGGAAGATTGGTCGTCTACGTCAGCTGGAACGGGGCCACCGAGGTGAAGACGTGGGTGGTGCGCGGCGCCGCCTGGGATCTGGCCGCGGCGGACCGCAAGGGCCAGATTCTGGCCACCTCGCGGCGGACCGGGTTCGAGACCAAGTTGGTCGTGGGGAACACGGAGTGGCGGTATCTGTGGGCGGAGGCGGTTGATGATCGCGGGAATATGTTGGCGGCGACGGAGATTGTCGACTTGAACACGACGGAGTTGACCGTTGCTATGGATATGTACGATGAGTCGGGGACCGCGGAGCTCTTCGATCCGCCGCGCCCCGAGAAGAGAAGATCAGATCCGGGGCTGTCGAAGGTCGTGGTGGCTTTGCTGGCCACCGGCGTGGGTTTGTTCGTTTTGGGGGCCCTCGCGGCGGCGGTCGTCTGGTGGCGGCGGTGCAGAGACTATCAGAGTCTGGAAGCGGCGGATTTTGATCTGGACTTGGGGCCGGAACACGAGTACAGTAGTGATAGGGAGGGTGAGGAGGGCAGCGATGCCGGCGGGGAGGGTAAGGAGTTGCAGTCGCCGGGGTTGGATGATGACAGTCGTGCGCTTCTTCCCAAGGGAGGTTGACACTGGAGATGTACCGTCTCCAACACAGCATCTATGTTAAGCCTTCGTTAGCCTGTTTTTGTGTGATCTCCAGCCCTGCATGCCCTGAATAATGAATTAAGTTTCTTGATCAGATGCGCATCTTGTTGATGTAAAGGCGATTTTGGGCATCTAGGCTCGATATTCCATGTAGATGCTCGACAAACTAATATTGGGTGGCAGAGGCCGGCTGTCGCAATTTGATGGTAGTGTAGGTCTTTTTGGTGATTCGGAATTGCTCGGGGAGTGGATCGAGCTGCTAGTCGAAGACATTATACCAGAAAGATTAGATGGGATTGCATTGACAGATGTTACTAACAACCCTGAGGATTTGCTCTGAGTCAGGCAAGGGCAAACATAAGTTACCACGGACGCTACGCAGGATCTCCATGAACATGCCATCTGACCGTCCAGAAGCCAAGGAGCAATTCTCAACATTTATGAGATTGCTAAGAGGAAAAAGACCAAGGTCCGGTTACGGCGGCCGGCGGCCGCGTGGTATAACATGACATGACAATACAAGCCTGTACTGTACAGCCTGTGGCGTGGAGCCTTCCCGATCAACTGATCTAATCTGATCCGAGCGCCCCCTCCTCCTCTCAATCAATCAATCAATCAATCAATCAATCAATCAATCAATCAATCAATCAATCAATCAATTGATCCGGGCTTGATTGCGCCACGGGAACTCTTTCTCAACTCAACTCAAAATTCAGATCTCTTTACTTGCCCCTTGATCACGGAGAAGCTGACACGAAGGTAAGTACATGTAAGTCTCCAGGTATCAACCGTAAAACGAGCAGCGAAGATTAACTCCCTAAATCCGAAATCTTGCCGTTTGATGAAAAACTTTGCGTTGCTAGGGCACTTGGATTTGGCGGCAATTCAAGGTCAGCGCGGGAGGCGCCTTAATCGGGAAACTGCGCTCATCCGTGGACCCGCTCCAGCATAGTGGAGATTCAAATTGAGATACTATATTGGCTGAAGTGGACAGGGTCTAAGATCCCTTTTTTTTCTCTCGCGTATTGTATGGGCCTCGGACCCCTCATTGACACCATGGTAGCACCTGCTTCTGGACTTGGCCAAGCCCATTGTCTCATTCCTGTTTGAGCCATCTGTCCGCAGTCAGTGATCATGTTCTTATGTTAAACTTGTAGACTTTTCGTTAATCGGCTGCTGTTTCCGTCTTCTGTCGAGGGATGCGAACTAGAGTTATTTTCGGCCATTTGGACGGAAGCGCTGTGAGTGAGTGCCATTGGGTTAAAGATGATACCAAGGATAAGAGGACAACTGCCGTCTTGGCCAGAAGGGCAGGCTTTGCCGCTGTGATCGTGCCACTGCTGCGATGAACCGCTCTCTCGCTTCATGTTGCCTCCCGAGGAGGTCCCTTTCTTCGCAAGACCGTGAGCCTCGGGCAACCCAACAAGAGCAGGGTCATTAAACGCCATTATTCGCTGCTGATGCTACTAGCTTTAACCAGCAAGAGCTGTCTTGTTGAACATAGTTAGCGTAGTATAAGAGGCAAGGTGTTCTCCCGGAATCTCTAGTCACAACGTAGCCGAGAGGTTCGTCCAACACTACTGATGTAGTGGTGTAAAGGTATCATCCGATATCGTTGGGCTAACCCCTCCAATCTGTGTAAACCTGTCGCTTGCTCCTGCGACTAGGGTAATTTTGAACCCTAATCAGCCGTATCAGGCTGTAATACAAGCCAAGTGGCTCTGAAGGAATGTAACCATGGTCATGTGATTCCTTATCAATCAATACTCTTTCTCAGTTGGGAATAGTCTCCAGTGCTCGCCTCTGCATGAGTCGTTTAGCCCTTGTCGCAGTCTCTGGCGAAGTCTTCGCTCGGGATCGATTGTGCCACTGCGGCTTAGTTAAATACTTCACGCATCCCTCCGTGGGCACCATTCTGCTGACCCTTACTGCGCGCGACCTCGACCCGGACATTCCTGGCCTGTCACTTTACAATGACCTTTTTGAATAAGTTTCAGCAGATTCGGAGTGGAACAAGGGCCGCACAAGTTGAGGATTCAGTCGCTGATGAAGATCGCATTGCGACAATCCAGACGAACATCGTGCACAGCAAAGATGCTGGGCCCAGCCATCCCGGTGCAACGACCGATGATCCCATCAAAGATGTAGAGAAGCCAAGCGAGGAGGCACAGTTTGGTGTCCAGAAGATCGAAGCTGTGACAATGGCTTGGTCGAAGGCATCTTTGGCTACGGTGCTGATTCTGTACGCGTTTATTCAACGGATTCCGTCGCGAACCATCAGGTCTGCTAACACAATGCCTTGCAGCATCTGGCTCTTGACGCTTGTCAACGGCTTTAAATCCACCTTTGTCAGCACTCTGAACCCCTTCATCACGAGCTCCTTTCAGGCTCACTCACTTTTGACTGTCATTACGATTGTTGCAGGATCCATCACCTCTGCGATCTACATTCCGATGGCCAAGATGCTGGATGTCTGGGGACGCGCGGAAAGCTTCCTACTCATGATGGCTCTGTGCATCCTCGGGTTGGTTCTCATGGCTGCCTCGCATAACCTTGCCACCTATTGTGCTGCTGAGGTAAGACGGTCTGATCACCCAGTGCACCATGAATGCAGAGTGTTTAACAGATAGATCGTGTTTCCAGGTGTTCTATACGATCGGCTTCGGAGGACTAAGCTACACATGGGACGTTCTCGCGGCAGATGTGACAAATCTCAGAAATCGAGGATTGGCGTTCGCCTTCACCTCCTCCCCGGGTATAATCACTGCTTTCGCGGGATCCAAAGCCGGAGCGGGTTTCTACGCCAATGTCAGCTGGCGGTGGGGTGTGGGTTGCTGGGCCATTGTCTTTCCATGTGTTGCGCTGCCACTGTATGCTGTCCTCGCGTGGAACTTGCGCAAGGCTCGCAAGGAGCAAATTGTGGTACGTGAGAAGAGCAACCGGACCTATTCCGAAACGATCTGGTGGTGCATCACAGAGTTCGATTGTAAGTCCTCATGCTTCTATCCTAGCATCTGCCTGCTTCCATCCCTGCTAATCCACACACAGTGCCCGGAGTGTTCCTACTCGCCGCCGGTGTCGTCATCTTCCTCCTCCCCTTCACCCTGGCTACTACGGCACCGAACGGCTGGAAGACAGGCTACATCATCGCAATGATTGTGGTGGGCTTCGTGCTCCTGGTATTCTTCTTCCTCTACCAGATCTGCTGGGCGCCCGTGCCCTTCCTGAAGAACCGCTTCCTGCTCGACCGCACCGTCCTCGGCGCCGTGCTCCTGGACATGACCTACCAGGTCTCGTACTACTGCTACGCGAGCTATTTCTCCTCATTCTTGATGGTCGTCTACAACTTGGACGTGGCCACGGCCGGCTACGTGACCAACACTTTCAGCGTGGTCTCATTCGTGTTTCTGTTCATCGCCGGCTACCTGATCCGGCTGACGGGCCGCTTCAAGTGGATCCTGTGGTTCTGCGTGCCCCTCTACATCTTCGCCATGGGTCTGATGATCCACTTCCGCCAGCCGAACGGATACATCGGGTACATCGTCATGTGCGAGATCTTCTTCTCCGTGTCAGGCGGCATCTTCATCCTGTGTGTGCAGCTGGCCGTGCTCGGGGTCGTCGACCATCAGCACGTCGCCGCCGTGCTGGCCTTCCTGTACGTGGCCGGCGGGATCGGCGGGTCGATCGGCAGTGCCATCTCCGGCGCCATCTGGACCAATACATTTGAGACGGCCCTGAGGCGGTATCTCCCGGCGTCGGCGCAGTCGAATTTGTTGACCATTTACGAGAGTCTGCCGGCGCAGCTGGCTTATCCGGTGGGGAGCGAGGAGCGACTGGGCATCCAGAAGGCGTACGGGTATGCGCAGACGAGAATGCTGGCGGCGGCTACCGCGTTCATGGTCTTGGGGTTCGTCTGGGTGGGCATGATGAGGAATATTAATGTCAAGAACATGACGCAGACCAAGGGGAATGTTCTTTAGAAAGAGAATGGCATCTCCTAGCAAGGATGTGAGGGCCATTCGGTCACGTCACATTTATATATGTCTGTCCCATCGTATTCATGCAAGGGCACTGTTTGGCAGTTGTTCCTTCCCTGGGATATCGTGATGAGTGTAGCATTCTCGAGTCGCTTAGAGAGATGAGAAGCTGGATAACTTACGGAGGAACTGTGCTGTCTATTTGTGGTGGATTGACTGCAATTTGGTCGGTGGGTTGGATGGCAGGCAAGGCTGTGAGATGCAGCTGCTAGCCCTAATCGGAAGGGAGTTGAGAACTAGAGCCAGCGCAAAGAATGTCATAGGCGGGATGTGGCCCCTCACCAGCTTGGCAGTCGTATTCTGCTGCCACGTTCATTGTCATTCGCTACTCGTATCGTTTTCAAGCAGGATATTCCCCGCTAGTAGACTAAGTTGACAAGGTATCATCCCGCCAGAGGCTCAAATCTGCCTCGATCCCGCCACAGCCACACTGCCTGTCAGCCTTTCCCATCACCGCCAGCCCAGCTTTTCATATGAAGCTACAGAGTACCTAGCCATAGCACGTTCCACCCTCGACATGCAGCACCGTAAACCCCTCCCCATACTATGGACGGAGCCAGCGCTGTGCTCGCCTTCGCCCAGTTGGGCCTCAGCCTCGCGACCACCCTGAACACCTACATCGCCGACGTGCGTCACGGCCGCGATGACATCGCCAACCTCGCCAACGAGATCGAGGCCACCGTCTCGCACGCCCAGGAGCTTGACCGCATCATCCAGGAGAACAAAACCACAGCTCGCTGGAGCGCCCACGGGCTGTTTTTGGCCAAGAAGTGTCTTCAGGATTGCCAGGATGTGATCCAGCGGCTATCGAGGCTGCTCCGCCGCTCGGGAGGTGGGGGCACGATGCCCGCGGCGGCGGCCGGGGGTAGATCCGTTCTCCCTGGCACAACCACCACCACCACCACCACGTCGGCGAGCGACACAACGAGCGACAGTCGGACGCTGGTCTCGCGCACGGAAATCGATGTGTCACTTTTTGGCCGCCTCTCTTGGCCGTTGTTCAAGCCCCAGCTGCAGTTTCTGAAGCAGGAGCTCCAGAAGATTAAGATCGAGATGCTGCTGGCGCTGAGTACTTACCAGGCTAGTTCCACGTGGGTTGTTCCTGATTTGCTGTCTATTGTTTTTCTTCCTTCTCTTTTCGAGACCACTCAAACAGGTTACTGTTTGCAAAGCTGCGTATTAACTCTCATCCGACTGCAGGTCGAAAGAGGAAGACCGGAAGGCGATCGTCGAGCGCATCATCGCGCTGTGGCGGTCGCGCACCGTCGCGCGCCGCGAGCTCGTTCTCTGTGGGCGTAGACTTGAGCGCGTGAACCGCCCTGGATACGGGAATGATCCTAGACAGAATGGGCGGTTCACTACCTATATTCGCGAGGAACGGAATGAGGAACCCGCGCACGATATGCCAGGGACTAGAGGCATCTCGCCAGACGACCCCGACCGCGCGTATGCTCGTCACCGCGGCCGGCGTCCGACGCGAGATGTGCCTGAGGATTTTGAGAAAGAGCGACCGTACATGCCTGGCGATGAGCTCTATCGAGAAGCTACGTTTGATATCCCTGGCGATGTCAGCACCGAGCGATATGGGCCGCCATACGCTCCGGACCCCGAGGACTCGGGGAAGAAAAACCCACTGAAGCAAGCCATCGACTATGCCCTAAAGTTTGCGCTGGCACCGGAGGATGATTCTCCAGCTGCGCAGCAAAGAATCTCGTCGCTATGGAGCAGATACAAAGGAGACCCAGTGGCATTGAGACAGTATGTGACAACCACAACTGATACATGATGATAAAACCCAGCTACTTACCTACCTCTGGATTCACAGACTCCTAAGAATGGTCAACACCGTCCCATCGTCGCAACCCACCCCTAAAATCCCACTCATCCTGCAAGACCCCACCGCCGCAGACGGCCTCGCCTTCACCTGGTCCCTCCTCATCACCAAGAACCCGGTCTCCTACACCGTCCACCCAGTCGACTACCCCCTCCCGCAGCTCATGAAGCGCCTCGCTCGCGAAGAGCAAAAATCAGCCCCATCCGGAACCCTGCCCCTCGACGCGTACGCAACCCTAACAACCCTGCCCTCGGGATACCAGAGCATGATCAGCAACTGGCTCATCCCCAACCCCTCCGCGCGCCACCACTGGATGCTTCTCGTCCTGGACCCGGTGTACCCACCACCCGCAAAGGACACCAGAACCTGGCGTCAGCGTCTCAAACTCTCCCGCCCAGGTCCACCGCAAGACCACCCCCGCGAACCGGCAAGTGTGCTCGCCGTCTTCAAACGCTGCACGCAAGCGGATCCTCGCGGCGGCAGCTCCCGCGCGGAGTTCAGCGCCTCGACCAAAAGATTGCTGGGCTCAGTCACCCCAGCCGTAGCGGGGGCACTGATCGCGGCACTGCGGGAACGCGCTCGGGACCGTCGGGGAGCCCGATCGCCTGCTTCCCGCAGCCCTTCGCGGCCGCGGTCCAGATCTCGGTCGCGAGTCTACGAGCGTGGGCCGTACCCGATGGACGGCGACGGTCCGGGTGCCCGGCCGCGATACCGGTACAGGCCGCGCGAGCGCAGCTATGAGCGTGAGGCGCGGCCTATGCGCGCCGAGGACCCTCGGGCGGGCCCGGTGCCCGAGCCGCGGGTATACGCTGAGGAGGTGACGGATGATTCAGAGGGAGAGGTGAGTGGGGACGAAGGGGGGACAAAGGCCGAGTTGGCGGATCGGATTATGACGCGGTATACGGGGCATTTGGTGGCGCGGGATGGGAGGAAGGAGGATGGGGGAGGATGAGGGGGTCATGGCATGTCGACACTGTTGATTTGACTCATGACTTATGTACTTTTGTGGGCTGTGAGTTTGTGGTTCGATAAGTTGGCGTTGAATGAGAAATGAAATGGCTTTTTAGGGTTCACTTCATGCCTGACCGATGCTCGGTATCATGCGCTATCGCAAGTATCTTGAAAGCGTCGGCGTAGCTCATTCTCATATGTCTCCTTAGCTTTTAGCCTCTCCTCAATGACATCCATCGTATCCACTGACCAGTATTCAGATACTATGCGCGAGTCAGTGAGATCGGCGCTCTGGGATGCTGCAAACCTGGGCTGGATGTGGTCGCGAAAGACGTTGAATAGACCTTTGGGACTATCCAAGGCATGGAAGTACCAGAAATTCCCAACCTCCCACCCTCGTCGCATGATGCTAGTCCGATAGGCACTGTCATCAAACAGAGGCAGATAACGCTTCTCTTCCGCTTGGAATATGTCCATGAACCTGCCGTGGGCCTCACTGAATGTGTCGAGATGTTCCCCGAGAATGTCGTCAACAGGCCGACCGGTCAGCCAGTACGGAGGCCGCATAATCTCCGCCGGCAGGGAGCATGCCCACTCCAGGTCAATGAGATATTTGATGTTCCAGTCCTTGTCGACAAAGATGTTGCTTTGATGGAGGTCGGTGAGCCGGTAGAAGAAGGGCCCGTGGGAAAGGTCTCGGTCGGTGAACTGCGGAAGAAGCGCCCGCATCATGGTCAAATTCGCCATCTGGGCACGTCCGTCATCCTCGTCATACATCGAGTTGGGCTGATGTCGCAGACGGCTGTCGTGACAGGACAGGATATCGTGGTAGTATGAATCGGCTGATGCATAATTCAAGCTGCGGTCCATGTTGGTAGGAATCCCGGCATTATCCAACTGATGCAGACGGAGGGTGAGCGGACGGTTGGTCAGTTGCAGGACGCCGTTTGTGTCGATCGTCCAAGAGCCGATGCGGAGTAGTGGGAGTTGGCTCAAAGGCAACATTATGCGGGACATGTCCCGGTAGAGGTTTGTTGTTTTGGCGCCATCGTGTAGAAGTTCGTTCCAGGTTTCCGATAACATTTGAACTTCTGGATCATCAAGGGAGTCCATGACGAGCTAGCCGTGGTCTAGTATGTGTTGTCGACAATGGCTGATATAAGGGCAAGACAAAGGACGGCCCAACAGCCACGACACGCATCGCTTGGCGTACCAGAAGATTCTCGTCGTGAGAGGCATGTGTTCGGGTATACTGAATTGCGTGGGAAACCTTGTTAGACTCTTTATTAAGTTGAAATGGTTGGCTTGCGTACAGTCTGACCACCGGGGAACCCAAAACCCCATAGCCGAGGAAGCGGGACATCAAGCTGCTGCTGACGTATTCAGATAAAGGTAGCGGCTCACAGCGGAGCTTCTCGTCCACATTGTCCGGGTTTAATGCCTCGCCTACTTTGTACGGTAGAGGGAATCGGATCATCACGCGCCTGGGCAGTCCCTTTGCTCGACCCTCGACCCGGACCGGGATGCAGACATTGAAACTGCCATGGATCCACTCTTTCACCTCGCCCACGAAGCATTGGTCACATCGACTTAACAGTGAATGCTCTGCGACAAGCGTTGCAGTGTCGTGGCGGCGGCTGTATAAAGATACGAAGAACTTCACTCGGGACGTGGGGAAGGATAGCTCGAGCAGCATATCTTCTTCCTGGTCCAAGGCTTCATCTAATGTTATCGACCCCCGAAGGAGTGGGAGGACTGCGGGCTGAGTAGTCATCGCCTTGCATCAGAAACGGGGTCTTGTTCCTGGTGACTGCAGGCAAGTGTTCAGGGTGTTTGAAAGATAATGATTGGTTTCAGGGGCTGCGATCCCAGGGATGTCCCCGGTCACCTGATTCTACATGCATAATTCACGTGATCAGGTGCCCAACATGACTACAATACCTGTCTTATTTACGAATCGGTGCTTGGTCTACAGGTATTATATACGGCGGTTTCGGGTCCCGAGTAGTCTAGGTATATCCATTGGCTGGATTTATCATGGGTGGCCGAACTCCGAGGCCCGGGATCTCACAATGCGAATTGTGTTCAGTATGCGTCCTTAGGGCTGTAGCTGCTTGGTCTAGCTTGATCTGGAAAAGTGACAGGAACAACGGATCTACATCAATATGCGATCTAGCATCCGATTCTTATATCTTCAACAGTGCGACCATTGCTACGAACACGCTAAGCTAGCAACCTATCTAAGGCTCGAATAGTCATTGGCTTAGCTCTATATCCAACCCAGAGCTAGTCAAGCGCATGGAGAGGCCAGGATGATGTACCGGTAGATCCTGCTCACATCTAGGCATTTTAAACCGAGACCTTCGGAAGTAGTTGTCGACCTTTGCTAGACCTCGTCTCCTACTGTCGTAGGATCCGCGCAACAGACGATGCAGGGACGTCCATCCAAGGAAGCGTACGTGAGGAAGGAACAGTTTAAAGTCTTGAATACTCACTGAAGCAGGAACTGGTGTAGTCCTTTCCTTCCTCACCTGAAGCATTGCTACCCGCCTGCGCTTTCCATCTTGGAATACACGATGGAGATGGTTTACTTCGCCGGCGCTGTGCTCAGCTTTGCGTTCTCTTTCTTCCTTTCTCTCCCCATGTTTCGAGCATTGTCTGTTAGTAGACAGTTTTTATCGACCCACTCATAGATCGTTTAAACCCTCCTGCACGCCTGTTAGAGCAAAGATGTCAGATAAGAAGTAAGTCTTCCCAACAGCCCTCACGGGACGCCTTGCTGACCCGCGCCCAGGATGAATACAGGTAAGCCCCCATCCCCCGATGCTCCGGATGACCACTCTTCGTCCAGCTTCTCTTCCTGGTGGGGTTCAGGCGATCTCAGCTGGTTCTTGCATAAAGAGCCAAATGACATCGATCTGGATCCTGTCCAGGACAAGAAGTGGCAATCTCTCCTCCTCACCCACGGAGACTACGCGGGCCGGTTGTGGAACTGCCTGGTACAGATCTCCAGAGCCAAGGACATGCGAAGCCTAAACTCGAGGGTCGCCCCATTCCGCGATAAGCTCAACCAGGAATCCTTGGATCCCTTCGGAAGACAACGCAACATCGAACTTCTAGAGGAGTGCGTCCGACGCCTCCGACTGCAGGGGTTCGATGTCGACCTCGAGATGGCGAAGCTGGCAATTTTGGTTTATGGTAAGCGGAACGAGGTTTGTCATGCAGAGATAGGGAAGCCGGGTGTTCAGAATGACCGCGCCAGGATGTGGCAGGTCATTGAACATGACAAAAACCAACTTCCCGAGGCTTTGCCAAACCTGCAGCTCCCTTATCACACCACCTGGCAACGGATCCTGACTCTGTACGGCGACACGCAAGGTTGGATCAACCACAAGCCTGGTTCTGGGCTTGCACGTCCCTTGCCCGAGCTCGACCTCAGTCTCCGACCGGATAAGGCAAGCCGCAGGCGAGCCTTCGATAAAAGAGAATGCGGAGATCGAGTCGACGCGGTCTTCCAGACATTCAAGGAGCGGATCCCGGTCACCTCTTGTCCTGTTTCCAGTCAAACGCGGACGAGGCACAGCGTGTCAGATCCAACTCCCTACATCCTTCCCGAGAAAAGGCGTGCCCTTGGATCGCCGGACTCCGAAGGATGTGGCCAAGGAAGCTCCGCCGCCGAAAGACTCCCCACCGTGGCCTTTGGAAACGGTGCGGACACTCGTCAATTTCAAGGACTCTACGAGGATCTCCGCACTCTGTTTGACAAGGATCTGGAAGGGGGCCGCAAGGCTCTTGAGGGGGCACGAAGAGTGGTCACCCGTGAGCTTACTAACTCACGGTCAGCGAAGAGGAGAAAAGGGGGGCAGTAGGGGGTTAGGCCGCTGGTAGAGATGAGGATGATCATGGTTGGACAAAGGTTTCCGGCTCCGGTGTAATGATGCACGCACCTTCGGGGCGGTAAGTCATATCCTGTCCTCATGTGACTCACTCTACCAGCGGCCAGTGCAACGAGTTAAGTATCGCCCTGCTTCATTCGTCCCTGTGGACAGATGCTGATTTTGATTCTGCCCTCTAGGGTCCCCAGCAATGAGCTTGCACCTTACCGTGGTGCTGGGGTTCAGTACTCCTCCAGCGACGGAGGAGGAAGCCAAGACAAGCTCCCTTTGTATACATGTATAGTATTCTTCTTGTATCGTGTAGTGCAAGCCGGAATGTGCTTCTTTGCTTCAGTCACGCTCTTCTAGCCTTGCCTTTTCTTCTGGTAGAGCCATCCTGGTTGATTAATCGTATCCAAGCACTGCCTACTGAGCCAAGTACGGCTTAATCACTGAAAGTTATGATAGTAATGGCTTCCTTGTCGGAAAGCCTTGTCCTGTAACGCTGTGAATTCAAGTCCTTGGCATAACCTCATGTGTCTTCCAGCATGATGTGTGGCGACTCAGCTACGGCTTAGATATGGTAGACTGAAGCAGGGTTTGTCATGAGATAATCAGAAAGACCCAATGGCAGGAGCGGGGGAGCTTAGCGCTGTCGACGGCATCTACATACAGTGCCTGCCACTACCTCTATAAACGCAGGCCAAGTATGCGAGTCGACGGGACTAAATAAGAAAGGGAGGCCAGCGGCCCGCGCGGGCCCCTGCCGCTACTATCATGCCGAATTCTCCGAGTGCCAAACATTAGTACTGGACGAACAGACCTTGCGAGCAGAATCGAAGCTAAATTGAAGCCTTTCAGGATAGTAAATAGCCTTAAAAGTGCTACAAAGCACAGCAATAAACCGTATCATGTATTTGTATAGATGGTAGTACAGTAACGGATTCCTCATGTCCGCCGCGGTGGATATTGCAAGTAGCGTAACTCGTGAGGGAAAAGATCCTTTGTCTGAAAGGTTCACCCTGTTTGAAAGAGAAAAACGTAGCATCACGTATATAGTCCATCTCGTGCTAAAGGACAAGCTCGGGATCCGAGTAGTCACCTTCGTCATCCTCTTCCCAGGCTTCTGGATAGTCAAATCGACTGAGACGCTCACAGCCCTCCTCGCAGCCTACCTGGAAGCCCAGATGGCGGCAATCGGTGCACCACTCCCGCTCGAAGAAGTGAAGCTGTCCAATGCTCTCCTGATTCCAGTTACGGTGCAGGTAGCTCCAGATCCGGAACTCGAACTCCCCTTCCCGGTCGATGCATCCTTTGCTCTTCCACCCATGAAGTGGGCTGCTAGGGATCGCCCGCCAATAGCCATGGACGTTCTCCGGGGTGAAAGGCGGAAGCCCGTCGGGATATCGCTGGCACCATTCGTCCCATGACCACTTCCAGTTCATGTTGTTTCCCCAGAAAATGTTCCAATGGTGCCAGCGACGGATGCACCACTTCTCCAGCCCGGGGTCGTGGAGTGTGATCGCCTTCGGACATTCGCGCAGCGTCAGGAAAAGCTCCCGGTGGTGCGTCGGAAATGTGCTCGTGGAAAATCGGCTGGCGCAACCCAGGCGAAGCATGGCCGCAGTGTCTCCCGGCAGGAGGTCCAAGCGGGTGTCGAGGAAGAACTGCATGTCGCGTATCGTTCCGTTGAGGTCGTCGAAGAGGGGCACCACGTCGCGGTAGCGCGGGTCCTGGCTGAGGGTGCCATCGTTATACGTCTCGTATCCGTTGTTGAGGATGAAATCGCGACCGTAGTTTATGAAGCCCCAGTCAATCACACGATCCATGCGACGTGATGACGGGACGATGTGGAGGCTCTTGACATTGCACAGTCGGCAGAACGGGAGAAAGACGACGTTGTGGTCGGGTTGATGGCTTCCAGGATATGGGATGCTCTCCACCGCGCGACCGGCGTCCTGCCAATCACTTCCCTTATACTCCTTGAGGTCAATGGTAATCGACTTTATTGTCGCGGCTTCGAGAAAGCTTGTGAGGTTCCGGATATTGTTCCATAGAAGAATGATCTGCCCGGGGTCGTGCGGATCCGGTGCGTAGATGTGAATGTGGAGATTGGTCTTGTGGTACGGGAGTCGAGAGAAGCGATCGCGGATGGCAGGGGTGGAGTAGGGTATTCTCCAGTGCAATCGCAGTGCCTGGCAGCGAATCTCAAGCCGACAGCTGTACCATGATGGTGTCAGGTCGATGTCGAGGGTGCCGTAGAGGCGACCAGTGATTTCTTCGTAGATCGCGCGAGAGCAGCACAAAATGCCCACGGATGGTGTCGGCTTCCAAAATAGCCTTTCGTAAATCTCCAGCCGAAGTTCCAGGGGCAAGGCGCCCAGCTGTCCGAAGGGGGATGGCGCCATGCTTTGTGGCGGAGTAAGGGCTCGAAAGAAACGGCAATGGTGCTATGGGCGCACCTGCGCCGGTGTCTTGAATCAAGAGATCTTGTAGATCTTTGCAAGTAGGAAAGAGGTAGGCAAGAGCAGGTGGCACTTTTTCTGGTCTCTCAAAGTGAGGATGCTAGGCGTAAATAAGAAGAGATGATCTGCTAAACCGGTGAGCAGCAAAGGTGAAGACTATGAGCGAAGCAACGATGGACGAGAAGAAAGGTAAAGACCAAGAGAGAAAGTAAAGGAGGATCTCAGCCTCGGAGGTGCAGCTGACTCACTGGCATAATCAGCTTGCGGAAATGCATTCCGAATGCGCAACATTGTAACATAGTGACATAGATACTTGGCAGTTACCCCACAACGCGGTCATAAACACTATCCGACCAGCGAAGCAGCAAGCATGACCAGCCCACCCAGCCCATCCATACCCAAACACCAATCCTCCCATGTCGCAGCTTCCCTACCACCGGTGGGTCTCTGTGAAGCCACGGCTTCGTGGCAATAGACCTCGTCCTCGGTGATTCGCACAAGCTCACCATTGGCCGCCATGCCATACTCCTCCCTATACGCAGGCCCCCTTTCTACCTCAGCCTTCCAGGCAAGCCCGTCGCCCGCTTCCCAAAGTTGTCTTCTTGCAGGAAGAGGGGATAGAACGAGATCTGTGGGATGTTCGCACATGGCGGCTGGGTCGAAGTACACCAGCATACTCACGACCTGGTAGATCACGCATAGCCTTGGTGAAAATCAGTATTTGGTTTCTACTTTCCGCAGGGATACGACAGACCTTCGCCTGGATTCCTCAAAGAGCCAATCGTCCCACAGCACACTGGTATGGTCGCGCCCCCCCTTTTCTTGGGTGTTGGTGGTAAAGCTGCGGTTGCCGACCTGTCTGGCAATTACCTGCTTTGAGCATTAGAGTCTAACCACGGACAATGAAACACTGGTGAGGTCTACCGTCACTGTCGAGAGCAACAACCAATCAACATTGTTGTGCTCCGTTTCGCCCTCTTCCAGTCGCATGATGATATAGATAGATAGAGCCTGCATCGCGGCAAGTAGCTCCCACTTGTTCAGCTTCGTGTGCTTCGCTCTTCTATCAGTAACTCTTCCATCTCCTAATAGTAAGGCTAATTGGCTAACCGCGTACCTCCGCATATAGTCGCTCACATTCCCAATGCACGTTCTTCCAGAATAACTTGCGATTGCCTTTTACCGGGCCGGTGGTCATATGCACCAGACTAATGCAGTTAGTCAACGGCTCCGTATCGTCGTCTTTAGCATCTAGACGAATCAGGTGAGGATGAATGAAGGGAGGAAGGAGGTTGTCGCGTAGCATCATCTTAGGGTAGGACCTCAGTGTGTGTAATATTAGATTCGCAGTCCTCTGGGCTCCCACATCCAACCTCGGCCGCTGCAGCAGCGAGCGGATATTTTGAGCTGGGGCCATGGGAATCGATATACTTGGGGTGAGCTGCTTGTGTTGCATTGAAGCTTTCACGTTAACAGCCTCTGATAGAGACTCCGGGAACGGGTGTTGACCGGCCTCAGTGCCTATTTCAGAAAGCACAAGATTGTGCGGGCCTGGTGTTGCGTGATCTGCCCCAAGCAAAATTCGGTCTAGAAACTCGAGGTCCAAGTTCGACATAGCGAATCCACTATCCGCATACGTTGCGACATCATCGCTAACTTCAAGTACAGTGTCTACGTCAGCACTCTCGTTTAGCGCTGCAGGTGTGATCAATTGGCTGGTCAGTGCATCGACCTGTGCCCTTCTGGGTCGTGCGTCTCGGGGAGGCTTCGCTGGATACTCGCACTCCACGGCCTTCGCCATGCAATAGGAACATCTCGGACGCCGATGATCGCAACGCGCCTTTCTCTTGGCACAGGCCACGCAAGAGCGGGCCCGCGGGCCAATTTCACTCTTTCGGGACCGACAGTAATAGCCATGTCTCCTGAGTGTGGACTCTGCAGGCCGGGCCCTGGTGTCAGCCAAACGTGCGGTATAGAGTTTCGGGACGGACACTTGCCCTTGTCGAAGGGCTTGTTGCAGCGCGCGCATCGCAGGACAGCAGAAGCTAAATTCGGTGCCTGCATTTTGATATCAATTTGGACCGCATGAATCACAAATTCGATGCGAGATGGCGTTTCTAAGTACCTTCAAGGTTGGACACTTGTTGCATTTGTCAGCGGTCTTGGTAAGCGCTAGTTCTTCAAAGGAGTTAGGGCTAACTTAAGGCTAAACCGGTTGGGAAAGGTCAGTCGGGCGGAACATTTTGTAAACCTGAGGCGCCAAGGCGGAGGGCTTTGCATGCTTCACATTTCCACCCAACAGCATGGTTGCCCATTCAATTGGAGGCTTCTATAAACAGATTCTTGTGGAAGAGACACTCATGTCGAATCTCGGAGAGGCAATTTTGTCAAGTTCCATCGCAATGCTCAAGAAACAAACCCGAGCTGCAAGATTGACAATATATATAAACCACCCACCCAGGTGGATAACGTTTCACCAGCATCATCGTGCATTACTTACGAGATATAAGTGCCACATGGTCTATTTTTCTTGAACGAGCACAGCAAACAAGCATCACAATGGCGCCATTTCCCTCCCCAACGGCCGCCTGGCACGACAAAGCCTACCCGGAAATATCCCCCTCGCGCCCCGAACTATCTGCGCACGGGAAAAACATCCTCATTACCGGTGGAGGCACCGGCATCGGCGCCGAGACCGCCCACCGCTTCGCCCAAGCCGGTGCTGCCCGCATCGCCCTCCTCGGCCGCCGTGAACAACCTTTGCTGGACACCAAGATCTCGATCCAGCGGGACTTCCCCGGCGTCGAGGTCTTCACGGCCCCGACGAACATCACTCGCCAGAGCGAGGTCGACGCCGCCTTCAGCCAATTTCTCGGCCCTGAAGGCCGGATCCATGTCCTGGTGAGCAACGCGGGGATGATCGGCCCCATGGTACCCGTGGCCAACGCCCCCGGCGACCAGGCCCTAGACGCCATCCAACAGAACCTGCACGGCGCGTGGTGGGTGGCGCAGGCGTTCCTGCGGTGCGCAGCGCCCGACGCCGCCGTCATCGAGACCTCCTCCAGCGCAGCCCACGTCAACTTCGGGCCCGGGTTGGCCCCGTACAGCGTCGCCAAGATGGCGGTGTTCCGGTTGTGGGATGCCGTCGGGTTCGAGAATCCGGGGTTGCGCGTGTATCATGTGCAGCCCGGGGTGGTGGACACGGCGATGAACCGCGAGGCGGGGGGCATCGAGGCACTTGGGTTTGAGGATCATGGTAAGTTCCTGCTTTTTCTTTCTTTCTCTCCAATCTCTTTCCCTTGTTCTTATCGTTCTCCTTTGTTCCACCTTTCTTTTTGTACTTTCTCGACTACAAGATGGGAATCTTCGGCTCAAGAAGAAAGGACGACAAGCTGACTTGCTGTTTTCCCTCGTGCCTACAGTGGATCTGCCTGCCAGCTTCTACGTCTGGCTGGCCAGTCCCGAGGCAGACTTTCTGAAGGGCAAGTACCTGTGGGCTAATTGGGATGTGAGCGAGCTCAAGCGGAATGCGGAGAAGATCCAATCTACCCCGCGACTGAGCATTCAGCTGGGCGGGTGGCCGTTCGCAGATGATAGCTGGGGGCTCAAGTCAGAGTCCGACAATGTTTAATGATAATACCATGTTCGACACAGAGTGGCGGCTTTTGCGCTTCCCAGTGCGGCATGGTGTTCGAGAATAGAGCGTGCAATCTCTCTCGCATGCCTCTGTTCTACTGAACGACGAGACCTTGTATCGCTGCGTGTATGGATCAATGGCAATCAAATCGAGTAGAAATCGAGTAGCCCATTTGGCAGTAGCAAGAATGGTCTACAGATCTACAGACACAACTTCGTTGATCGAAGGTTGATTGCGTTGCCGACTACTCCGGCGCGATGCTACTAGAGGACCCTGATTTTGGGGCCAAGGACAGCCGCACTGCTTAAGATTTTCCGGCGGGAGGGCATCGTTTCTGCCCGGTATTATTTCTTGCCCCAAACGGCATGCGCTGCCTCAGAAAATAGTTTCTTCGATCCAAAGTGCAGGCAGGAGAACGAGTAGGGAATCTGTTGGGATGGCTAGACTGTAAGGTATATTCCCAATGATCGCCTTCCAAGAACTCGAGCGCAGCCAAGTTAACGTGCTTCGCAATGGAACTAATTACGAGTCAATCCACCGGTTCTCCCACTAAGCATGAACTCAGTGATTCATGGCTCTGCAGTAATCAGTCCTCCCATCCTGTTGGCTGGAACCGGAATTCTCGTCTGCCATCTGTTGTTCGCGCTGGCAGTTCTCTCCAAACACGCTTTGTTGAGGGAATTACCCAGAAGGCTTTGTCTTCCCTCTGGCCTCCTCAACCTCGTAAATGCACCGCATGCTGGTATGCATGTCTGAGGGGGCAGGGGAGGGGGGTTGCTTAGCAGTGTTGCGGAGGCACCCTGCCGGTTGTCATCGGCGTTCGACCTCTTGCTAGCCATGCCTCCTGAAGACAGCACAGTAACACCGACCATATCCCAAGTGTTGAATTGTGATAAAACAGGCACTTTTCGCTTTCGCTCCTCCTCCGTTGGGTCGAAAGGTCTGGGACTGGAGGCTTGTTTCCAAAGGAACGGCAGAAGAAACAAGGAAGCCTCACCCTATATAAATGAAGTGTGAAGCGAGTCGAGGGACTGCATATCCATACCATCGGAAGGTCAGTGTCAGTCAAAACATCACCTTGTGTCCATACAAATGTCTAATAACTGGTCCTTGGTATACCATAAGCTCTTCCCGGGCCCCGGGTACACGACAGGTTCTGTACTCGTCGGGCACTTAGAGGATTTCGTCGAGGAACTATGCCTGGAGTGCGCTCATCCAAATCAAAGCAATCGACTAGATTCCTTACGGCAGTTTCAACAGGATTTACGGGGCTTGGTGGCGGAATGTGATTGGCTACATGACCTTGAGACATCGCGCTACTTTGACCGCAGGATCTATGAGTTAGACTACAGGGCTATGTGTTGGAACTTGAGTGGTATGAGGAAGTGTTTGGTTCAGGAGCTTACTGACTCGGTCTGGAACAGGCTCTACACCCATTTTAATCGGTTCCTGCGACATTTACGCACTTTGAGCTTCATGAAGCGCGAAACCAAGGAGCTGCAGGAAGCACTTGCCGGGTCATTTCACAGGGCCGCCAACATTACCCTTCTCCCGAATGACAAAAGCGTCCAGCTCAAGTGGTTTCTTTACGCAGCCTGTAAGACACGATACCCACGGGCTGACCCCAGGCTCTGGGTGCAGATCAGCAACCTCATCCGGGCGCGTCGCAGAGCCATTACGTGCCAACCAGGCCATCATTATCCGCGCGCGACGGCCGATTTCACTCGCACCATTGAGCTTCCTCCGATCCCCGGGAGACTACCTGGTAAGCCCTTCATTCGGTGCCCTTACTGTGAGCACCGATTTCTATCCCGGAATATTAGTCAATCGGAGTGGAGACGCCACCTGATGCACGACCTGCGGCCCTATCTCTGCATGTGGGCGCTGTGTCCACACACGTTCAGCTCCATTGACGCTTGGCTGAACCATCTCAAGGACGCCAATGCCCACCCTGCGAAGCTTCTGGCTTCATTCTTGAGCGAATGCCCCTTCTGTGGTATTCCTTGCGCCGATTCCCAGTGGTCCTCGGTGGAGAAGCTGCTGAGACATATTGCAGGACGTCATCTGGAGGAGATTTTTCTGTTGGCACTTCCGGGGGGCCCGACGGATCTGTTCTTGAATGTCTTTCTGAGAGAAGAGAAGATTAGCCTGGAGCCTTACGAGACTCCTGAGATTCCCGAGGCTCATGAGGCTGATTATATGCCTTTCGGGAGCCCAGAGGATGATGAAGTCGAAGAGAGTGTTGACACAGAGGAAGACGACGGCCTGACCTCTGAGGGAGTCCGCTCTCCTCGCTCCTTAATTTAGCGAAGCCTCGTGTTGGCTCTAACTACTCCGTCTCTCTTTCGAAGTGCCGGTAGAACGCACCTAGACGATTGGTGCCCTTTGTCGGGAGACAAAGCGAGGGTTGGGGAGAGCCGACATGTAGAGCTCTATTCTCTTACGATAAATTATTATTTACTACTTTTGCAGCGCTTTACACTCCCAAGGCCTGAAGGTCATGTGTGGACCTGGTTATTTCCCTCGCCGGAAAGCGGGACAAAAAGCCCGTGAACCTGTCCCCGTCCACCATACATACTGCAAAGCCTTACATTGACACAGTGGAGTGACCCAAAACACTAGCAACAATGGGGACATGATGACAAGCAAAGAGAAGGAGGGAGTCTCCCATATGCCATCACCGTGGGGATGGAGCGGTCCCTTGGTGCACCCCTCCCGTCTACCGTTTGTACCCCCGCGGCCGCCGGCCTCCTGAACAAAGAACTGCCTAGGCCCTCACCCTTCCCGCGTTGTGACCTCCACAATATCGGCGACTCTGATGAGAAGAGACCGTAGAGCATATTGACTTTATGCTATGTTGCCTGTCAGATGTGCTGAAGACTGCCGATGGATAGGCGGATGGGCACGGATAGCATTGGTGAGTTGTTGACATCCAGAGACCTGCCAAGATTGATATTTCTCTGACTGTCACTACTATCTACAGTGGATGCTCCGAGGTGGCGCCTCTCGGTCTTTTCCCAACAGGGAGCAGGTGCGTCAGTCAGACAAACGCTGACAGTAAAGCAAAACGCGACGCAACCCAACCCATCAGACATCGCGCCTCTTTGCTCCGGCCTGCAAACGAGGTCGATGCAGTCAACCCCATCTACCCAGGTCTTGCGTAGTCTCTACTATGCCTTGCGCAGCTACAGAAGAATAGAACGAATGTGACCAAATGCATATAAACAGACATCAACGATCCCTCGTCATCAGCATCGGCGATGTGGAGAAGCAGAACAATTCGATTCCCATGTCCTATCCTTTCTGTTGGGCGCTGACAACCACTTCTCAAAATGGCAAATTCCAACACCGACACCGACACCAACCCCGATTCTACATGTTGGGGCATAACCAAAAGGGTGGGCTGCGAGGCCATCAACAAGCCTGTAGGCTGGTTTGTATGGTTGTTCGGTGACAAGTCAATCTCAGAAGCGCAGAAGAGACTCCTGAAATCCACCGATGATGCAGAAGCCGAGGCTTTCAGAAAGGCACTCTTGAATGACAACCGATTGCTTGCGACAAGCGTAAGTGAAGAGTGATGGCATCTGTGGTTGGCGTGGTCTCTGGAACAACACTGATCGCAAATAGGGCTCTATAATGATAGCTGCTAGCGTCGCACTACTTTCGCACACGAGTGCCAGCCAAACGCACCCGGCTACGCACTGTTTCCTCTTATTCGGCATCGTGTCCTCTATACTTGGGGTTCAACATGCCCTGGAGGAGTCGAGGGTCTTATCTTTGCTCGTGAAACCATCGGATCTGAAAGATTGGGTGAGAAAAGGAACGCTTCGCGGCGACCGGAACGACACCAAGACCTGGAACAACAGCTTAACCACCCAAAGCCATGGCCAAGGCCTGAGTGGCCAACAAATCTCCCAGCAATCCCCTGGGCACGCGGAGGCTGGAGGAGCCCAAGGCTCAGAGGGTCAAGAGGAGCGCGGTGGTTTGGCGGCGTCGATCCCGGGCGCATTTTCATCTTTCGCGTTCCACTCGGTCGTGGTGGGCTGCCTCGTGCACCTAGGGACGGTTCGCAGTGCAGACGATAAAACATCGCCACCTATGCAGAAAAGGCCACAGTTTCTCGCCTTCATAATCGCCCTAGGGATTGGCTACTTGCTACACAAACTCTATAGCGTTGGCCTTCCCAAACCTCGCAATGAGCCTTCCAATGAGCAGCCAGGCGCAGGGGTGCAGCAGTCATTGCAACAACAGACCACAGTAAATCAGTCGTCATCCCATCAAGCCCACAATGCTCACGGCGGAGGCGGAGACGTCGAACCCCCCGCAAGCAATCAATCGCAGAGGGCCGAGGTTCAAAGCGTTCAGCCATCCGATTCTCGCGCGGAGAGATGAATGAGTGGGATTGAAAGCGACTCTACCTACTGTCGTGAAGCTGGAGGTAGTCTCGCCGGTTCTTTGCATCGTCCAGATGCTAATCAGCATACACGCAAGCAGGAAGCGTCGATGGTTTCTTTCTTTTTTTTTTTCGGGCTGCAGTTGTTCGAGTTCTCTGGTCGCTTTGTACTGCGCGGGCTTTTGGATTTTACCTTGTGATTTGTTGAGCTTACTCAGATTGAATAACGTTAATGGATGTTAGATGGTGATTACCTTAAAAGCTTCTTGTTCCATGGCAAAGTTTCCGCACAGGAGTCAAACTGAAAGTGGTCGATGCTGACATCGGATCACCCCCTCCCTCTTCCCAAGATGATGAAGAGCTTTTGCCTGTCAACAAGGCGGGCGGTGAACTCCTGCGAGTCCGATGTTTCGCCGAGACGATGATGTTCTCAGAACAGACAGCAGCCACCCGAAGATGGTGCTGCTCTTTCTTGCTCCTCGGATGTGGATCATATTGAGTCTTCACGCCGACTGCTGGGCTTGAGAACTGGGGGAAGACTTCCACAATCCCTTGTTTCGACTGCTGACCCTCCCGCACTCCGTCCGGGACTTTCCTATTCGATGGGACGAGACCCAGGTTCATTTCTCATGACATGGCTTGGACCCTATCACCTTACCCCAGTGAAGGATGGATGCATGATGTGTGGCTGGGATTGCGACCGTGTAGAAAGGGGCGACCACAACAGAGGGCTCTGGATTCCTGCCAGAAGCCATCCTGAGAGTGCTGACGCACGACAAATTCGCGGATTTGCCTCCCAGCGGGAGAGTTACATCGACGGACGACTGTTTGTGTTCTGCAAGGTCGGGAAGTGAAACAGTTTAACCAGCCTTCACATCTGTTGGAAAATCATGTTCTGACTTCCACCCCCCATGGACAACCAGTGTCATGCCATAGCCTCCAGTGGTCGGTGTATCGTACCCTAAATTGTTATTGAACTGTTCGATGGTCTGCCTGCAAAGACCCGAAGCGTTGTACCTATCGTGATCCTCAGATGCCGAATTAAGGGATTTCAATCCTGACCAGCTCGATTACTAAGCCCCAACCCCCTCCTCCTCCTCCTCCTCCTCCTCC